CCGCACCCAGCTTGGCCTTGTGCGGGCCTGTCCTCACTTGCTTACGTAGATGCTTTGTTCTTATTGTCTTGTACTCTTGCATCTCAATATATTTGCTATATACCTGCATGTGAACTGGCCTTGTGGCTCTTTTGCTTGCTCTCGGACTGTGTGGTGACTTTGAGCTCCACCCTGAGATTTGTCTTGTTCTTGAGGACTGGTCTTGTGACCCTTGCTTATTCTTGTTCTTGCTGACTGGTCATGTGACCCTTGTTTGCTCTCAGACTGTGTGTGTCCTTCAGACCCACCCTGGGATATGTGTTGTCTTTCCACGGGGTTAGCGTCACCTAGACTATGGGGGTGTGTCAACATATAATATATATGTGTTGTTTAGGTTAGTCTATGTGTTACATTTCTACTTCCTTGAATGATTAGGGTTTGCTATATCTAGGGTTGTACTTCACATTTTCTATCAATTCATTACATTGTAACACCAGTACCTCCTGCTCTCGCACCTCCAGCATCAGGAGCTCCAGTACCTCCAGTACCTTTTGCTCCAGCACCTTCTGCACCAGTAGCTCCAGTACCCCCAGCACCAGCACCTCTAGTACCAGCAGCTCCAGCACCTCCAGCACCAGCAACTACAGCACCAGTACCCCAAGCTCCAGCACCATAGCGGCCTCGTCGAATCACCCACTTGCGAAGCTGTTGCTGCGAGAGAGTCTTTTGTCGACAAGACTGCTGCTACTGTCCAAGACAAGAACCTCCAGCAGGAGCACCCACGACCCCACCACCACTAGGACTAGCAGCACCCCTAGAGTCAGCACCCCCAAAACCAGCATCCCCAGTGCCACCACCCCCAGCAGTACCGGAGTCCACAGGGAGAGGCTGCAGAGGCGGGAAACCAATTGGAGTCTCCAAGCGTGGGGAGCAGCGAGTGGCCATTGTGTTGTCAGCAGTCGGTTCACCCCCCTCTGAGCCTGAGGTGTCAGAGGAGACCTCCAAAGGCTCAACCAAGGGGGGTGGGTCGACCGGAGACACACGTGAGGGAGCAGGACCCAATGGGTGGAGGGGGTCTACCAGGGGGAACTTGGAACTAGGAAGAGGAACGGCGGAGGGACTGGGGAAGACGCGTGTGAGTGGAGATGGAAGAAGCAGACCGACTCATCAAAGGTGACGTCCTGGGAGGACAGGACGCGGCGCGAGGCAAGGTGGTAAAACTTCCAGGGTGGGCCGTCGGTGGGGAAGCCAAGGAAGACGCAGCGCAGAGTGCGAGGAGGTTGTCCGTGGTGGTATCACAGACAAGGGAGAGCGTGTCGCAGACCCGATATTGTGACGCATTGCCAACCTCCCCTGTCCAACACACTGTAGGCGAGGTCTCCCGCACAGAGACACGGGGCTAGAGGTTGATGCGCAGCGTATCGGACCGTAAACGGCCACAGAAAATGGGGAGCAGCCGCATGGATCATGGAGGTGCGAGCAACCTCCATGATCAAGCCAATGTCGCGCTCAAAAATCCCATTCTGCTGCAGAGAGTTCAGATACGTGAACGATTGAGCAATGCCCTCCACATGACAAAAGTCCTCAAGGAGGCAAGAGCAAAACTCACCACCTCTGTTAGAATGTAGTCGCATGACGTGAAGGTCCAGCTGAAACCGCGCGCTCAGCTGGCGACGAACAGTGCGGATCCAGGGGATCAAAACACCGCGGACACCCGCCTTGCTCTACAAGGGGAAGGCCGTGGTGTAGCACGTGTAGTCATCAACAACCAGTAGAATGTAGCACTCGTGGTCCTGTCCACAGACGCATGCGAGGCCCCATACGTCCATGTGAAGAGTCTGCAAAGGAGTAGTGGTTGGAGGAAACGAGGAGGAGTGCGGAGCGGTGCGCTGCCGCCTCTCGACACATGGAAGGCACGGCGGTGCAAGCGAGCGTGGGAGCGGAGGTAGGGACCTACGGAGGTTAGAGACAAGGAGACGAGAATGCATGCTACGCAGATGCGGCAGGGAGGGGTGACCAAGATGGTGGTGCCAGAGGAGAGACTGGTGCGTGAGAAGGTGACACGAACATGGCGCAGCTTATTGACCGGACGCAACTACCTGTGCAGACTCAGTGGACAGTGTGTACAGGCCAGACACTGGTCTTCGAGTGTACGTGACGAGGTGGGCGCCAGTTCGTGAGTCCGTACAGATTGCCACAAGCTCACTCCCAGGAGTCATCACAAAAACCCTATGCTAAGTTTGGACGAATTTTGATTTCGATTGTCTTCGCGTAAAAAAATCTGGAGCCAATTTGGACCGACGGTTGGAGTCATTTGATAGGAGCTCCGAGACACATCTTTCGACAAGGTTTGGCTCGGTTCAAGTTCCAATTTGGCCCGCGAGCTTTTCTGGATGACATTCGGGCGCAATCCGTTTTGTTGCAAATTCGTGACCAAATTATTCAGAACTATATTCTGTTTTTGTTCGTTTTGGATATTGAGGATTTCAAAATTGCATTTATTATTGCGGTTTACAAGAACCATTATTCAGCATTCTAGCAACAAGCAGTCTTAGCACCAGGTCAAATAGCCTACGCATTGGCGGGCCTTGAAAGCGCCCGGTGGGCAAGGACGACATCTCCAAGGTCGCCGTCGTCGATGAGGAACTTGTTCGGAAAGACGAACGCACCCATAGCCAGATCGTGGGGGATCCTCCGCTCCACGAGAGCAAAATGGATCATCTGTTTGACCTTTTCGCACCACTCCTGGTAGTCTGGCCTGTTCTGCTCCGGCTGGCTACTGATTCGCTTGCGAAGCTTATCATGCAGAAGTGGCCATTCGATCTGCAATGTGGTGTAGGGTTGGGTGGATGGTTTATGAGGAGGGTAGGTTACGGGTAAATGAGGCAACTGAAAGCGGTGATGCAGTCGTCACTATCTACGTAACTGCAAAGGCCTAATCGACCAGGGTTTTAGCTGAAGTACAGGCAAGGGGTTAAGGGGATGAGGCATAGGGGTACAAACACATATCTACATCCTTACCGAAAACAGGCCCCATGCCACCATGTGGCTCTTGAACTTGGTGAACACCGCCCCGCCCCTCTTGAAGGAGAGTTTGAACGCATAAGCGAACAAGGGGTTGCTGAAGGGTGTCCCGGTGGCCTTGTCAAAGTGCCAGTTGAGGGCCCACTGTTCTGCTTTTTGGCAGGGAGGGTATGGGTTGGAAAGGGTTTTGTAGAGAAATCAAATGGGGGGATGAGAGTCAGGGGCATATGGTAGGGCATATTGTGTTTTCGAGTTGCACTGCACATACCATCTCTGTACTCGGCTAGGAGTTGATCGTCGTCGAACCAGGTCGTTGGGTGTAGCTCAGTAGGCAGGCTATCCACAAGATGGCTGTAATCGGCAAGGCCCATGCCGGTGTATGCTGCTGGCCTGAGGGTGGAGTTGATAGTTGACCTTGTTGAGGACAGCTAGTGGTTGAAGACTCCCATGGTTGACTTGTTATTGTGCAACCACAGCAGCTTCATTGCCTCGAGCCCTTTTGCAGACAAGTGGACAGAGAACGCTTCGAACACTTCCTCCGGTGCAGGGTAGTACTGTATTTTCTCCGGCGGGTTCAGAAACATGAGCTGAGAGCACACTAAGTAGGCTTTGTTCTGCGCAGGGGTGTAAGGTATACAACACGACATGGAAGAGAGAAACCAGCAGTTATGAGGGTGGTCGCGTGACCATGGGACGGTGACTAGCAACACTGTTTGAAATTGCCACGTCACACCCTGCGCCATCAGACACGTCCACCAACAACCCGGCCCACTTGCCACGTCACACCCCCCTACCACAAGCCACGTCACTCCCCACCCACCTGACACGCCTCGCTTCGTCATGCGCAGTGGTCACGTGTACCATTTCTAACCGCCACGTCATCCCCAACCCTCACCTTCCGCCACGTCACACCCACCTGCATCCGCCACGTCATCCCCAACCCTCACGTTCCGCCACGTCACACCCTCCTTGTCCGCTACGTCCACCAACCAGCCCCACGTGCCACGTCACACCAACCTGCATCCGCCACGTCCACCAACAACCAGCCCCAAGTGCCACGTCACACCCTCCCACCCCATGCCACGTCACCCCCCACCCACCTGACACGCGTCGCCTCGTCACGCGCCGCTCCCGTGTACCATTCCAAACCGCCACGTCAGCCCCAACCCTCATATTCTGTCACGTCACACCCTTTTGCATCCGCCAACAACCCGCCCTACTTGCCACGTCACACCCCCCACCAAGAGCCACGTCACCCCCCACCCACCTGAGACGCCTCGCTTCGTCATGCGCCGCTCACGTGTACCCTTTTAGGGTGCCACGTCATCCCCAACCCTCACCTTCCGCCACGTCACACCCAATTGCATCTGTCACGTCATCCCCCACCCTCACCTTCCGCCACGTCACACCCTTCTGCATCCGCCACGTCCACCAACCAGCCCCAAGTGCCACGTCACACCCTCCTTGTCCGCCACGTCCACCAACCAGCCCCACATGCCACGTCACACCCTCCTGCATCCGCCACGTCCACCAACAACCAGCCCCACGTGCCACGTCACACCCTCCCACCCCATGCCACGTCACCCCCCACCCACCTGACACGCGTCGCCTCGTCACGCGCCGCTCCCGTGTACCATTCCAAACCGCCACGTCAGCCCCAACCCTCACATTCTGCCACGTCACACCCCCCAGCATCCGCCAACAACCCGCCCTACTTGCCACGTCACACCCCCCACCAAGAGCCTCGTCACCCCCCACCCACCTGAAACGCCTCGCGCCGTCATGCGGCAATCTCTTGCACCCTTTCACACCGCCACGTCATATCCCAACCCTCACCTTTTGCCACGTCACACCCAACCCGCATTCGCCACGTCCACCAACAACCCGCGCCACTTCCCACGTCACACCCACCCACCCCATGCCACGTCACCCCCCACCCACCTGATACGCGTCGCCTCGTCACGCGCCGCTCCCGTGTTCCCTTTGAAACCGCCACGTCAGCCCCAACCCCGCCCTTGTTGCCACGTCAACCCCAACCCTCCCCATGTGGCCCGCCACATACCGAGAATGGGTTTGTCTCCTGCAACACTAGCACTCGTGCCTTGTCCACGGCGCTCATCGGCGGCGGGGTACCAGCCATAGGCAGGGCTGCCGACCCGCCGGCCTAGCTGGCAGGTACTCCACGACGCAGGCCGAGCTGTGCAAACATGGCGTACATCTCAGACCGCAGAGCCTGGAACTCCTCCCGTGTAACAAAATGCTCGTGCTTCGCACTTTCACCTAGGGCACCCATGAGCGGAGGAAAAGGGTGTGAAGAATCCCCCCTCTGGCCAAGGGGATCAACGTCTTCTGCAGCAGTCCCGTGTGCCCTCACACTATCACGCTGGCGGGAAAAGGGGAGCTCAGGGAAGGGATTGGCATAACTGCCTGCCTGATGCCCGCGCGAAGGATTGGCGAGAGGGGAGACCGCCCTGCTCCGGACAGGAGAAGCGTGGAGTTGCCAAAATTGGTACGAGGGTGAGGCGAGTGGGGACTGCGTGACGGGGGTGGGTGGAGGGGATTCGGATTCCTCTCCTCTTGGCGCGCCTGGTGCCGTCGCAGCGACTATGCTCGGGCCGGCCCATGGCATGTAGTACCTTGGTGCTCTGGAGGAGAGCGGTCTAACACTCGCTCTTCCGGCAGCCTTCGTTAGATGCATTCGTTGCACGCTTACGGGCGGCCCAATGCCTGTAACGCGAGGGGCTGAGATATAGAGGGAGCCGGAAAAAAAAAATAGAGTCGATCGGTTTCAAGGCGGGGCCAGACATGCATGCATATTCAGAAAGGTTTGAATCTAGATTGGGTTCAGGGTTGTACTGGTTTGAGACAAGAGGGTTTACCTTGCTTGGCAGATTCGTCGACCTTCTCCTTCCCTGCATGGGAGAAACAATGTGAAAAAAGGGTGTTTTTTGGCCCGGTTTAGCAGATGGTTCAACACGTCACGCCAGTTTTATTGGACACAATGCTCACCTTTCTGCTGTCCCTTCGGTTTTGGGGCAGCCTGCGCCTTCTCGTTGCCACCTTTCCGCGGGGTGCTTTGGCGGACGCTGCGACGTTTACCGGCAGGTTCTTTCTTGCTGGTACCCACTGGAACCCCTTTGGCGCGGCCACCCTTTCCTCCTCCATCCCCTTTTGCTCCCTGGCTCCCTTGCTTTTTACCAACCCCTTCACTTTCGACCTTCACCTTACGCGCCTTCGGTTTGCCCGATGCTTCGCCGCGCGCAGCGTCAACTGCCCCGCGTTTTCGGGAAGGGCGACTCCGGCCCCCCTCCTTCCCTGTACCACTCACCCATCTGCCACGCCCGCCCCGTCCCTTCACTGGCGCCACATCCTCCTCCTCCTCCTCCTCCTCCTCCTCCTCCTCCTCCTCCTCCTCCTCCGCTGCCTCCTCCTCCTCCTCCTCCTCCTCCTCCTCCTCCTCCTCCTCCTCCTCCTCCTCCTCCTCCACTTCCTCCTCGTCGTCACCCTCTCCTCCTCCTCCTCCTCCTCCTCCTCTGCCTCCTCCTCCTCCTCCTCCTCCTCCTCCTCCTCTGCCTCCTCCTCCTCCTCCTCCTCCTCCTCCTCCTCCACCTCCTCCTCCTCATCATCCTCCTCCTCCTCCTCCTCCTCCTCCTCCTCCTCCTCCTCCTCCTCGTCCTCCTCGCCATCATTCTTATCTTTTTCATCCTCCCCAACATCCGCGTCATCCTCCTCCGCTTCATCTTCATCCTCCTCTCCCTCCGCATCCTCCTCCTCATCCTCCTCCTCCTCCGCATCACCGGGGTCTTCATCGCCCCGTTTTGGCTTTGTTCCCGTCGCTGCTTTCTTGCCTCTCCTTCCGCCGGATGCTTTTCTTGCTACGGGTCGGCCCTTCTGGCGCAATGCTTGACCGCCCGCCTTGCCAGTAGCTTCCTTGACGCCTCGCGGTGTCCCAACTGCCGCGCCTCCGGCGTCGTCAGCACTACCTGTCGTCTGCCGCCTCTTCGCCCGCGTAATGAAGTCCCCGGGCACGGCGGTTTCATAATCGTCCTCCCCATCGCTCTTCCTCTGCCTACGCCTCCCCCGTCCACCAGAAGATGGAGAGCCACCGACCAGCCCCACTGACTCGTGCTCCCCCACCTTGTCCTTATCCAGCACGGCTGCAGAAACTTCGACCACGGTCGGCTGGAGTAGCGTCAGATGGTGTTGCGTTGCCGCTGCCTCGGACTCCTTGGTTGCGGCATGCTCGGCGCGGGGATCGCCTCCGTGATTTCCCTCCGTCGCCGATCCCTCCATCTCCGCCGACGGGAGTGCAAGACTTGCGCTCCCTCGCCTCGGATCTTCGTTGCCGCCAGTGGTGCCGTCTTTACTCGGACCGGGCTCGGTTCCAGCAAAGGCAACATCCGCATCTTTGTTCACTGTAGAAACACGCTTGCGTGGCGTTGGTTTAGGGCCCTTGTCTTCCGCTTTCTTGCCGGCCTCCTGTTGACCGCGCGCGACCTTTTTTGCTGCCGCTTTCTTCTTCCCAATGCCACGAGCGACGAACGCATTAGTTTTTTTAGCGCCGCCACCACACTCCCTATCGATTTGTTTAGACGTCCTCCTTGTCGCGCGGCGGCCGGCCTGTTCCTCCTCCATTGCTTGGTTACGTGTTGCACGTGTCATGATAATTGTAGGAGGAGCAAAGTTGCAAATCGCGCGGAAGGGTTGAGCCGGTTTTGAAAGGGTTCTGCAACTGAATCCCACGATGGGATTATATACGGTCTATCACTGTAAGGGGTTTCGAAAACCGCCGCTTCAACTAAATCTGTCATAGTAGCCACTATGCTTCGCGCTAAAGTGTGTGAAGGCAACAAGCAGCGTCAAAGTGTTGGTCTAGGGAGTGACCGAAGCAGGTGGGTGGGACACGAGGGTGGTTGGGGTGGGTTGCGAGACTAGAGAGAGTAATGTAACCCTATCAGGCTATATTGGACGGTGTACGTGTAGCCACCCTAGCATAAACCCACCTACCGTTCGATCTCAGCCGCTCAATGGCTGAAGTACCTCTTGGCTGATGACTGTGTTGCGGGGGGAATCGTTTGAGATGCGTCGGCCAATCACTGTTGCCAACGCATAAATCACTAAATTTTATTCAAACATACAACAATGCATTTCATCAAACTCTAAGTTGCAAATGGTTTACCACGGGGTTGGGGTAAGTTAATCGGTGATTCTTACATCACACACACAACGACCGTCCAGAATTATTACTTGTGTCAGATGTACTGTGCACATTTAGGCTTTGCCACAATGGTTTAGGGCCAGCGGACGACGTTCTAACACGATTATCAATAGTAACAAACGTGAATCCGTTGTGGTATGGTGTTGGATTGGCATCCATTCTTGCAGAGACATTAAACAAGGTGCTTAGAAGGAGTTGTATGAAGCACAGGCCCAACGCACAAGCGTAGATGCGTTATCGACAGCCATGGTTAGATTGTGCGACGATGCAGCGTTCAGACCTGCGGGTTGCGCGACATGGTGAATCCGTTGTGGTATGGTGTTGCATTGGCATCCATTCTTGCACAGACATTAAACAAGGTGCTTAGAAGGATTTGTATGAAGCACAGGCCCAACGCACACGCGTAGATGCGTTATCGACAGCCATGGTTAGACTGTGCGACGATGCAGCGTTCAGGCGTGCGGGTTGTGCGACATGGTGAATCCGTTGTGGTATGGTGTTGCATTGACATCCATTCTTGCACAGACATTAAACAAGGTGCTTAGAAGGAGTTGTATGAAGCACAGGCCCAACGCACAAGCGTAGATGCGTTATCGACAGCCATGGTTAGACTGTGCGACGATGCAGCGTTCAGGCCTGCGGGTTGCGCGACATGGTGAATCCGTTGTGGTATGGTGTTGAATTGGCATCCATTCTTGCACAGACATTAAACAAGGTGCTTAGAAGGAGTTGTATGAAGCACAGGCCCAACGCACAAGCGTAGATGCGTTATCGACAGCCATGGTTAGACTGTGCGACGATGCAGCGTTCAGGCCTGCGGGTTGCGCGACATGGTGAATCCGTTGTGGTATGGTGTTGAATTGGCATCCATTCTTGTACAGACATTAAATAAGGTGCTTAGAAGGAGTTGTATGAAGCACAGGCCCAACGCACAAGCGTAGATGCGTTGTCGACAGCCATGGTTAGACTGTGCGACGATGCAGCGTTCAGGCCTGCGGGTTGCGCGACATGGTGAATCCGTTGTGGTATGGTGTTGCATTGGCATCCATTCTTGCACAGACATTAAACAAGGTGCTTAGAAGGAGTTGTATGAAGCACAGGCCCAACGCACACGCGTAGATGCGTTATCGACAGCCATGGTTAGACTGTGCGACGATGCATCGTTCAGGCCTGCGGGTTGCGCGACATGGTGAATCCGTTGTGGTATGGTGTTGCATTGGCATCCATTCTTGCACAGACATTAAACAAGGTGCTTAGAAGGAGTTGTATGAAGCACAGGCCCAACGCACACGCGTAGATGCGTTATTAATAGCCATGGTTAGACTGTGCGACGATGCAGCGTTCAGGCCTGCGGGTTGCGCGCCATGGTGAATCCGTTGTGGTATGGTGTTGCATTGGCATCCATTCTTGCACAGACATTAAACAAGGTGCTTAGAAGGAGTTGTATGAAGCACAGGCCCAACGCACACGCGTAGATGCGTTATCGACAGCCATGGTTAGACTGTGCGACGATGCAGCGTTCAGGCCTGCGGGTTGCGTGACATGGTGAATCCGTTGTGGTATGGTGTTGCATTGTCATCCAACATTGCATGGACATTGAAACCGTTGTGTTATTGTATGACATTGTCATCCATTCTTGCATATTCATTCAGCACGGTGCGTAGAGGTACACTACACCTCGAGAGAAGACACGCTATAGGTATTCGCTCCACGCAACAAACATACGTTAGGGCATGGAGTTATTGGGTACTTCCCGTATCGTTATCAAGAAAGGGTTGTTCAACATCTGTCCTAAGGATATGAATGTTTACTAGTTATGAATGACTTGAGTGTCTTGTTAAGTTGTAATTGTACATTTGCATTTCCATGTTTGTTTGAAGCCTCTTGAGCTCACCTACGTGATTCTGATTTTCCCCCTATATCGATTCGCGACACAATCACAGATCCAAACGGATCTCTTCCCACTCTTCCTCATCCCCCTCGACTCTCACGCACGGTTCCTAAACACAAGTTCTTGATTCAATAGACACGTCCTTCTCACCGTGCTCGCGACGCACACACACGACCGTGAGACTTAAGATCCTCCGCATTCTCCTCTGCTCACGTCGTGGTCACTCTAAACGGGGGCGACACGCCTTGTAGGGAAGACGGCCCGTGAGGTGGGCGGTCTGTATCGTGCCTGGTAACGACCACGCGGCTCGACATCGTTAGCCAGTCATAAACATTAGCGCCAATGTCAAGTGCCAGTCGTGCAGTGATACAAGCCGCCCACCACAGTGCGCGCATTGGCGATGATCGTGTAGCTGTCACAGGCTTCTTGAACGCAGTACTTAATGCGTTCACAAGCTTCATCACGGCTAGTAGCTTCATAGGCAACTTCTCGACTCTACAACGAATCCGTAACACATGGGCTCTTTACCAGGCGTCGTCTGCGAGTTCTGCAGCAGATGGTTCCCCAACGCCCAAGTTTATGGCGGTCATAAGTCACGGCGGACCCCTTGCCAAGGACTATCCGCCATGGCAAGGCCGACGCGATCTGCACCGACCGCCGGTCTTCACGCTCTGCTATTCGTCCACGACATTGTGTCGGACGCTCCAGCCGCTCCCGGTTCACCTACAGCGTCTAACGCATCCAACGCCGTCAGTGTGAGCGGTCCTCCACGCGTGCCTGAAGCTCACGTTGACGAAACTCCCAACGACGTGAACGAGGGGCCTCCTGAAGATGAACATCAACCACAACCAGGAGCTCCTGTGGCTGACACGAGTGACCATCCTGAGAGCCGGGCCGAAGGGAGTCATGCCGCGCCGCCAACAATCATCTCCAGACAGAGCAATGCCACGCCCCTCAATCCGCTCGCATTGAAGCTGCTGCATTTCGTTCGGCGCGTGAATGGCGGAATGGGAATGGCCGAGGTTGACATCAACGGCCTGCTTCAGCTAGTCGTAGAGCCCGGCCTTGCGCCTCTTGTGATCTCGGAGCTCCGGCACTGTAAGGATCTGGAGCGGTTCGAGATGGAGCGTTTGGCAGGGCTGAATTGCGGATGGTTGGTGGCGACCTTCGAGATTGACGGTCATCCACCACAGCGCTTGCTCTTTCAGAACTCAGCCCAGGTAAGCCGACTTTGCATTCAAGGCCGTGAAATGATGATGAGGCACACAGGGTTTGCATGTACGTAGTTATCCTTGTATTAACCGTACACCCACCTTCACCGCCACTAACCATGCCTCTCCTCTCACCTGCCTTCGCCACCGTACACCAGGCATTCGCTGAAATGTTTGGACATCCCAACAACGCGCCCGGTTTCAAGCTCAAGGCGCGTGTAGATGAGGACCCTGACGCAGGCAGCCGTCGCTATACCACGCCTGAAACAGGAACGTGGTTGAACGATGCTCAGGTAAGGAAAGACCACGTTGCCACCCCAAACCCAATCCTTCCTCATGCCTCCATCGCTGCACTGATCTGTCAAGAGCATCTTGAGCCCTAAACCGTGTGTCCGTTGCCGCTTTGTCGTGCACTGCAGGAACACTCCGGTTGGTTCGAAGTTGTGGGGGGGATCATCTTATATTCGGATGTGACGCACATGAGCATCAACGGCCGGAAGAAGGCGTGGCCGCTCATGATGACGCTGGCCAACATCTCCCAGGCCAAGCGATGGGGGAAAGCCGGGCACACACTACTTGCCCTCCTTCCTATCCCCCCGTCTGCGATGTCTGCCGTGGAGAAGGTGATGCTCTTCCAGTGTTGCGTCATCACCGTGCTGCAGCCGCTTTTTGATGGCATCGCCAGGTCCGTACTCGGTTTGCATCTTGCTAAGACATCATCTCACCACCTGCATGGTATGCAAACCCTCTCTGTATGTAGCATGGCCCTTTGCCCCTCGTCATTCCTCCCTAAAAGCCGTAACCCGAATTCCTGTTGCCCCTCTACCTGTTCCTTGCAGCGGGTTCCGTCTCAGGGACCCTTTCGGAGATTGGCAAACCGTACGGCCCCTGCTGTACGCCTGGGTGTGCGACTACCCCGAGAGCGGCAAGATCAGTTGCACACTCTCGCATGGATCGCGGATGCCGTGCAGCATCTGCTATGCTGCAAAGGTGAGGTCACATGCCATCTGCACACATTCAAATACATTCTCGTTTGTGGGTCGCCTGATAGAACCCACATAGCTACCACCCTTACCTTTCCTATCCCATCCCTCACCCCCGTGCTACAACAGGAGCATCTGAGTGCCGTCAAGGCACGGAACACGCCGCGCACGCCTGAACAGCAACAATGGATCGTTAACGAGGCGGCTGGGACGACAACTAGCCAGGCTGACCCGTGCAAGGCCTACTCTACCTACCCTGTTGAGGTGAGTGACCTGTTTCCCCGGCCCATGAGTAGTCTATGCTCTCGCCCGCCCCGTCATGAATTGCCAGATGTGCTCTGCCCCATTGAACTCACCCC